CGCATAGAGGTGCGTCGCTTACGGCAACAGTTTATTCACGGGGATCCTGCATGGCTGCAGGCGACGGCGCCCGCCAGGCAATGGTCGACCAGTCTGTGGAGAAGTCTGACGACGCCGTCCACCAGCCCCTTCTCGCCCAGGGATCACATCAGGCTCTGGAGGAACCTCGAGGCTCAGGGGTTACGTTTGTGGCCTTCTGAGTGGAGGAACTCTCGGGGTCCAGGTCATCGAATGCTTCTGAGTTTAGAGCGCATAGACTGGAAGGCGCTTAGTTTTAGTAGGTGGCAAGATGATTGGGGCAATGTTGTGGATTTACTGTATCACAGCCCAGCCATGATTGCTAGTCTGCTGCAGTCAGGAGTTCAGAGATCCCATGAGAGGCGATTGGCGGCGAGTCTTCCCTCGCTCGATGGTGCGCGTGTGTGTGTGGACCCTCTCCGCTCCCTCCTTCGTTCGAAGCGAACCCCGCCGCGAGCAAAGTACTGGACCTGCTCCTGTGTGTGTTTTTTTTTTCTCCAAATGGCTGCTGGACGGCAGACCGTTTGCACGAGTCGGGTTATATTTCAGATGGACGTTGTCCCAAGTGCGGCCAACTTGACTCGATTTTCCACCGCCAATGGTTATGTGAAGACCCAGAGGTATCAACGGCCCGCAGCGAAGCTGTTGAACCTCATCTGGTTGAGGCTGCCCGTAGTTGCCAGCCCTCTGGGCGATTGTTTTGGTCTCGATTGATAATGACTCGGCCCGATGCGGACCCCTTTTCCCCCCTCGGTGGCCTCGGACCCCCTCCTCCAGGATGCGAATGGGCAGCCATTGTCTCTCGATGAGTTTGTTGAACGGAGTGAGAGCTGCGACCTAGTGGTCGACGGCTCGGCTACCCAGTATCCGATTTTTCAGCTCAACAGCGCTTCTTTCGCGGGGCTCTATTTGGAACCAGGGGACGTTTACCAGGTTCGGACCCGCTTCATGGCCACTGTGTGGCCAGTGTTGCACCAGACGCCCCAGGCGGCTGCAAATTTGGGCCTGGCCACTGCGTGTGCGTTTAGTTTGGGCATGACTTCACCTTTCAGTGATTGCAAGGGGGCCGTGCGGTTGCATAACCTCTCGGACGAGGCGCAGCTTTGCCCGCGTGAAATGTTTGCTGGCTTTCGACGTGCCGCGCAGCCGTCGCCTGGTTTTGATGCCCTGGGGGAGGCCCAGCATACGCCCGCCCATAGGTCGGATGCTATTATACAAGCCCTTCCCCCAGACCAGAAGCGAATAGCTTTAGCCAACCAGGATGCTGACCGCCTGGCTAAGTATGCCCTCTCGCTTCATCCGCAGCCTGCATCTGCTGATCTGGAGATGCTAGATAGGCAGGTGCAGGCCCATTCGAGCATGCGCGCTAATGTTCGGGAAGGTGCTCTCTCTTTTTTTCCTAAGCTGCACTTTGAGAGACCCCAAAAGAGAAGAGGTTGCCTAGAGTCCCTCCCCCGCCTGACTGGCATGAGTGGAATGAGCTCAGTGGCGATCGACCTGCTTTCAGATGCAAGAAATGTTTCAGGATTTCGTTCGAAGGCGAGTCCCGCCCGATGAATGGTTGCGGGGGGTTGTCCACAGCACTGAGACGCCTCCAGGGTGCTGAGACCGAGCGGCAACCTAAGCTGGTTTTTGCCATCCTGCACAAGACCCAGAGGCCGCTGTTTTTCTGTTTTGCCTGCGGTGCTTACACCAGCAGGCGATGTCACTTGCTAGGTCAGACCTGCGTCAAGAATCTGAGCACTGCTGGTGAACAGGTGCTCACACGACTGCAGGCTGGCCTCCACCCCCATTACAGAAAGAACATTGAGGGTGATGACTCGCTGGCGCCTGCTAGAGCGCCGTCGGAGTCGGTGCTTCTTGCCCCTCCTGGCCCTCTCGCTGCGGGGTCGTCTCGCTTGGTCGATTCCGACCGCTTGCGAGCGCTCGCAGCCCGCATTCAGGCCAAGGAGGAGGCATCCAGGCGCTAGCTGCTGCCTGAAGCTGACGTTCTGCCGCAAGGTCGTCCCGTCCTCCTCCTCGTCCTCCTCCTCGTCCTCCTGGGAAGCGGCCGATATCTGGAAGGGAAGCGGCCGATATCTGGGAGGGGGAGGGGGGGGGGGGAGGGCGAATACGGGAAGGCTGCCCGAGGATGCGCCAAGGCACCCTCCAGGGAGAAGGGCCACGCCAGGGCGTCCTCTCGATTGCACCTGGAGGGTGCCAGGAGAACCCAGAAGTCTGACGCAATGTACTTTTTAGAGTTTGGCTCCCCAGAGGTCTCGGCCCCTCCACGGCGGCTGGCTTTCGTCCCGAGTCGTGGTTTGGCGGTTCCGGGGGCCGAGTGAGGGCCCGCGGGGGCCATGCCACGAAGCAAGGATGTCAGGGAGGAGCACGGGGAGGGCTGCTCCTCCTCCCTGCATGTTCCCTTGTTTTTCCGCTCTGTCGTTTCCAGCGCTTCGCGACGTCCGCTGCCCTCTCCCCTCTGTGCGTTGAGCCGCCATGGACTCAGGGCTGGGCCTCCTTTCGCTGGGAAGGTGGCGGTCGAGACAAGCTCTCGAGGTGAGAGCCTTCAGCAACACGGCGCGCAGATTGCTGCAATGCCGAGTCCGACCAACCCCCGTCCTCCTTCCCGCCCCATCCTCTCTAGCGGCCAACCCCCATCCTCCTTCCCTCCCTTCCCGGCCCCCTCCCCGGATAATTAGGCAGCGGCGGCCCCAAGCTTTCGGCCGCCCGAGGCTCAGCTCCAGCAAGCGGACGTCCGACTACGTCGACAGGCGCTCCGCCCTGGGTTTGTATCTGGGTAGGGCAGCTCGTCAGCGAGCCCCCCGCGTCAACGGCGACCGGCACGTCGGCTCGGCACGTCAGTTCGGCTCGTAAGCTTGCATGGGTGCGTCAGCTCGGTGCGTCAGCTGGGGGGCGATCCCTGCCGCCCCTCCCGTTGTCATCCTTGTCCTCGTCCTCCTCCTCCTCCTCCTCCTCCGCCTCCTCCTCCTTCTCCTCCTCCTCCGCCTCCTCCTCTTCCTCCTCCTCCTCCTCAGTTTCATCATCAGCATCATCATCAGCATCATCATCATCAACATCAGCAGCAGCATAATCATCATCACCGTCATCATCAGCAGCAGCATCATCAGCATCCATCAGCATCAGCAGCATCATCGTCAGCATCATGATCAGCATCATCATCACCACCAGCATCAGCAGCATCATCATCAACAGCATTAGCATCGGTCTCATCATCAGCATCATCAGCATCAGCATCATCATCAGCATAAGCAGTAACAGCGGCAGCATCCTCGTCATCAGCAGCAGCATCACCATCATCAGCAGCAGCAGCAGCGTCATCGGCATCATCATATTATTCATGATCATCATCCCCAGTACGTCATCAATATCATCATCACCATGATCATCAGCATCATCAGCATCATTACCATAGTCATCATAAGCACCATCATCAACAACAGCATAATCATCGTCAGCCCTCTACACCTACTCGCCGCCGCCACCGTCGTGGCCGTAGCCGCCGCCGCCATCGCCCCGACGTGTGTCTCTGCATGTCCCCTCCCCTTGTCTTGAAGACTCGTCGCGCCCGAGGCTGCTCGCCGCCTCTTTGGCGCCAGGAGGCCGTTTCCGGGGCCCTGGGGCCGACAGGAGCGGTTTGGGGGTCCCGCGGTGTTGCGGAGGCCAGAAGCAGGAGAAGGAGGCAGGAGAAGGAGGAGGAGGAGGAGGAAAAAGGGGGGAGAGATGGAGGAAGATGAGGAGGAGGAGGAAGAGGAGGAGAGACGGAGGAGGAGGAGGAGGCGGAGGAGGCGAAGGCGGAGGAGGAGGAGGAGGATGAGGAGGAGGGAGGAGGAGGAAGGTGAGAGGGACGAGGACGAGGGGGATGATGATAATACTGCTGCCTCTGATAATGCTAAGGAGGAGGAGGAGAGGAGGAGGATGAGAGGAGGAGGATGAGGAGGTGAAGGAGGAGGAGAGAAAGAAACAGAGCAGGAGGAGGAGCTGGAGGAGTACCAGGAGGAGGGTGAGGAAGCAGAGGCACTACATCTTCATTTCCCACCACAAGCTCGACGCCGGTACCGAGGCCACGCTGATGCAGGAGGCCCTGGAGCGCATCATCGGCCAGGACGAGGAGAGCCCGGGCCACCACATGGACGCGCCTGTCTTCCTCGACTCAGAGGACCTGAGCGACCTCACCAACCTCAAGGACCCGCGCCAGTCTGCCCAGGCCGGTCCTTCTCGAGGTGGGCGTGGCTGGTGGCCACACGGCCTGGTGCCCCACGACATCCTCGCGTCTCGCGCGTCGCGCGCGGCGCAGCGCCCTTCGGTGCCCTGACCAGGCGGAGCTCCGTGGCTTTCGGACGTTCTCGTCGGTTCTCGGGTCTTCTCGGCGCTGGCCTCGGCCTCGGGGGGCCTTCCAGCAGCTGCGCTTGGAATTCTGGGGGTGCCCGGAGCAGCCCGACGGACCGCCGGAGGCCCGAGTGCTGGCCCCAAGGGCCCCGGGGGGTCTTCGCCGAGCGTGGCGAAGAGCAGCTCCCTGGGCACGGGGCCGGGCCTCCGGGGAGCCGCGGTGCGAAATGCGCTACCACGTCGACGCCGGGTGTTTGGGGCCCTCGGCCCTGGCCATCGGCTCGCGGATGCCCTCGACCTTCCGCCGGTGCGCAGGAGAGGCCTGCTCTCATGGGCGCACCCCCCGCTCTCTCGCCCTTGCCCTTTTCGTCGTCGTCCTCTACTTCCCTGCCGGCCCCTGTCCGAAGGACCACGTGCGCAACACCTTCAACCTGGTGCTGCTGCTCACCGAGGACGTGCTGAAGCGCCCCTGGGTCCTGATCGAGATCGTCACCGCGTTCCAGTCCGGGATCCACGTCGTGCCCGTGGAGATCTACAAGCGGGACAACAACTCGCCCTTCAAGTACCCCGACGAGAAGTTCTACCAGAGGCTGCACGACGGAGGCCTGCTGACGAGCGCGGACAGCGCCCTCATCAGGGACGAGGGCATCTCCATGGACGACCTCGAGAAGGCGCTCCGCCACGTCTTCAGGAAGATTGCCGTGCCCTTCTCCCCCCACAAGTCCCAGAACGTCCGCGAGGCCGAGCTGACGGACATCCTCAACCGCTGCACGGACACCTACAGGCCTCTCCTGGCCTCTCAGGGGCCCACTTCGATGCGATCGCTCCGATTCGATTCCGATCCGGTTCGGTTATCCCAGGGTCCACGTCGATGCGATCGATCCGACTCGACAGCGATTCTGGGCAGCTGGCTCCGATTCGACTCCTCCTCCTCCTCCTCCTCCTCCTCCTCCTCCTCCTCCTCCTCCTCTTCCTCTTCCTCCTCCGATTCTATATCGATTCCGATGCTCTGGCGATCCGCTGCGCGCCGCGATGCCCCTGCACACGGCGCTGCCGTGCATATCTTGGCGCTGTCGACTCTGATCTGAATGTTTCATCTCCGTGCCGATGCACCCCGATCCGACGCACAGTTTCCGATTCGAGTTCGTTTCCGGACTCGATATTGACGGATCGGAAATTGGAGCAGATATATGACCAGTGGCGGGTTGTTTTCCAATCCCCGGGACGTTTCTGAGGGTCGGGGACGACGTCGGGGTGATGTGGTGTATATTTGTCGGTTCCCGGATCCCGAGTACACCAGGATACGCTTCCCTGTCTGCGAGTTTCAGTACAGGGCCAGGAAAAGCGTCGGTGTACTGAGCTCGGAACTCTCTCACTGACTGATCCTGCCTCCTTCGCCCCCTCCCCTTCTCCCGGCATCACCCAAGCATATGTCCTTCTGCGTCCCATGATCCCCCTTGCCCATCAAAGTTGCAGTGTTTTTCCTAACCATCCTGTGGTGTTGGGTCCTCATTTTGAAGAGACAGGACCCCGCGTCACCTCCCGCCCTCCTCCCTCCTCCCCCTCTCTGCCTCTGCCCTCCGCATGCTTCTTTTTGGGCACACTCCTGACACACGTTTCGTGCCCCGATAGGGAGCTCCACCGAAGGCCCCAGTGGCTGCGCTCGCATGACACCACCGCGCCCATCCCGTGGCCCAAAAGGGAGCTCCACCGAAGGCCCCAGTGGCTGCGCTCGCATGACCACCAAATCCATTTCAGCACGCCCATCCTGCGCTTCGTGGCCCCATGGTTGCGCTCGCATGACACCACCGAAGGCCCCAGTGGCTGCGCTCGCATGGCGCCACCGCGCCCATTTCGGCACACCTCTTACACGTTCTGTGGCTCCATAGGGAGCTCCACCGCAGGCCCCAGCGGCTGCGCTCACATGGAACCACCGCACACATTTCTGCACACGCCTCACACGCTGCGTGGCCCAAAAAGGAGCTTCACCGAAAGCCCAGTGGCTGCGCTCGCATGGCAACACCGCACCAATTTCGGCACACGGCTCACACGCTTCGTGGCCCCATATGGAGCTCCACCGAAGGCCAGTGGCTGCGTTCGCATGACAGCACCGCACCCATGTCAGCACACGGCTCACACGTATCGTGGCCCCATAAAGAGCTCCACCGAAGGCCCCAGTGGCTGCGCTCGCATGACACCACCGGACCCATGCCAGCACGCCCCTCACACGTCTCGTGGCCCCATAGGGAGCCCCACCGACGGCTCCAGCGGCTGCGCTCGCATGGAACCACCGCACACATTTCGGCACACCCCTCACACGTTTCGTGGCCCAAAAAGGAGCTCCACCGAAGGCCCCAGTGGCTGCGCTCGCATGGCAACACCGCACCAATTTCGGCACACGGCTCACACGCTTCGTGGCCCCATATGGAGCTCCACCGATGGCCTCAGTGGCTGCGTTCGCATGACAGCACCGCTCCCATGTCGGCCAACCCCTCACACGTTTCGTGGCCCCATAAGGAGCTCCACCGAAGACGATACCAGCAATGGCGTTATTCACAGCTGCATATGGTTGGGTCCTCCGCCAGGATAATTTACGATTCGCGATGGCGGCCGTTACCGGGGATGCTCCCCTTCCCACCTGGTGACGTCACGATTCGCGCCGGCGCCATTTGAGAGCAGCTGATTCCCAGACAGTGCTGGCGCGAATCGTGACGTTACCAGCCCTTTTCGTTCCCCTTCCCCCCCTTGGCACAGGGGATAAAAAGACGGGCCCAAGTCGGCCCCCAGACCTCTCCCTGAGCGCGTTGCGACAAGGACCTCCGTCCGTATAGCAAAAACTCCCACAGGAGCCCCAGATTAGATCGGAACTCCTGGGAAGTTCAGTTCAGCATCGGCGCTGGTATATCCGTGTTCGAAAACTGGCCTAATCCCGCAGAGTCCCGCCTAATCCGGCTCAGTCCCGCTTGATCCGTCTTCATCCTGGCCGCAATCCAGCCCAATCTGGATTCATGGACCTTCAGTCAGGCTTAGTAGTTCGTTCTTGCGAAGACCTCCCAGAAGCTACAGGCGCGCAAATCCCTCCGCCTCCCCGTCCCCTCCCTCCGCCATCCTCCTGCTCCCCGGAGTCGCCTCCACGGACGCAAGCCCATCCATGAATCATCCCCAGGGGCCCCGAATCCACGGCACTGAATCGGCCCCAGGCTGAACGCCGCCCGTGGCCCAAAATCGGCCCGTCGTTGAACAGCCCGGCGTTCATAGAACGGCCGATCGCTCAAGTTTGAACGATCCCCGCTCCGCCCAGCCTCCCGTCCCCGCTCGCCGCGCGTCCCTCCCTGCCTTCGTGCGTTCTCCCCTCCCCGAAATGCTTGAATTCGTGAATCACGTAGCGCCCGTCAACGCGCCTGTGGGCGTACGGCTCCTGTCTGTCTGTCCGTCCGTCCGCGGTGCCAGGAACCAACGCCGGGGTCGACACGACGCGAGCCTGTCGCAGGTCAGGACTCTGCCAATTCTGCCTGGAGGTGAGGCGAAGACGGGGGACAACTTTTTCGAGCCACGGCCGCGGTTTTCGCCTGGGTGCGCCGTCGGCCTTGTCTGTCAACAGCCCCCGCCGGCGGGGCCTCTCGCGCAGCTCCTCTGCCTCCCTCCTCCTCCTCCTCCCTCCTCCTCCTCCTCCCTCCTCCTCCTCCTCCTCCTTTTCCTCCTCCTCCTCCTCATCCTCCTCCATCTCTTCCTCCTCCTCCACCCTTCCTCCTCCTCCTCCTCCTCCTCCTCCTCCTCCTCCTCCTCCTCCTCCTCATCCTCCTCCTCCTCCTCCTCCTCCTCCTCCTCCTCCTCCTCCTCCTGCCCGCCCGAGGGGCTCCATGACCAACATGAGCGACTCCGCATCCTTCAACCTGCCCGGCAACCTGGTGGGCCAGACGGACTCGCTCAAGGAAAGAGAAGCTACCCCGAACCCTACAAGTGGGCATTTCCCTCCACCTCCACCTTCCATGCCTTCCGACCTCTACGGAAGGTGCGGAAGAGTTCATCGAATAATTCATGGAAGCCTCGCGCAATCTAGGAAACCCACACAGTTCATGCCGAAAAAGGAATGGAAGTTTCGGGCGGAAGGTCTGGAAGAATGAGGGGGAGGGTTACGGCGCGGCCTTGGGCGTTACGATATATCCCTACCCTGCTCGATTCCTTACATGGGTGTGTGTTACTGAACGGCTTCGCTTCTCGGGTTGCTTATTCTGAGGGTGTTTTTTTTCTGCTCTCGATTTACGTCGGGCATGCCCCTCTACTGGAGGAATATTCAAGAATAGCTTAAACATTGCCAGGTGACGATGTTTCGTGTCTGTTTGGCTATGTTTGATTCGTGTGTTGATTATTTTTCATTTTCTCCCAAAATCCGTCTGTAGGACGACATGCCCGACCTAACTCGATTCGTGGGCGGGAAGCATCTCCACACCCGAGCGCATTCCTGCGACCGCGTAGTAACGGCATCGCGCCCCGCAGGGCGTGGACATCCATACCCTGAGATTCGACACTACGACAACATTGCATCATCGCAAAATCGCGATTGGAGTTAAGTCGGGCATGCCCCTACACACGAGGAATATTCAAGAATGGTACAAATAGCCAGATGACGATGTTTCGACTATTTGTGCCTGTGTTTGACGATTGTTTGACTATTTTTCATTTTTCTTCCAAAATCTGCCTGTAGGAGCACATGCCCGACCTAGTACTGGAGCCCAGGACCCAATCTTTCGGCGCCCTTTTCGTACAGGATCGCTCTGGGATGGTCCTGGGGTCCGAGCCCTGGCGAGCTCGCCCGATGCGGAAACATTACAGCGCCTGGATCCCCGGCCGGGTATGGAAAAGCGTTTCCAGACCCCCGACGTCATGATTTTTTCACAACGTCGACCTTCAGAGGTCTCGACCCCTTCCCCGGGACCGGTTTTTCATCCTGAGCCGATGTTTGACGCCCCCGAGGCCCGGTAAGGGCCCCCCGAGGCCGAAAATGGCGAAACACCTCCCGTCATGATGTTTTCATTCCCCCGAGGGGGTCTGGGTTCGCCACTCGTGAGGACTCCTTCGACAAGCACCACGATTCCGAGCTCAGCGAGCCTTGCGGGCGCTTCGAGCAGCAGCAGAGCAGGCGATTGTTTTTTTAATGCATTGCTCTGCCGATCGGCGCGGGCCCTCGCACCCCCCCCTACCCCCCCGTGGAGTAGATCTTGGCTGTTTTTTGGCGCCTGTTTCGAGCAGGGGGAGCCTCCCCCACGGGACGCACGATTGCAGATAGTCGCATGAAGCAGAGGTCCAGAGCCAGAACCCCCCCTCCTCCCCCCTTCCGCCCAATGTCCAAACGCCGAATATCAAGGGCGCAAATAAACGCCCTTACCCTAGTTTACGAGGCGCTGCGCGCTGAACCTCTTGTGGGCTGACAGGGTAGACCCCCTCGCGTATCGCGCGGCGTCCCGGCGGTTTCCTGGCTTTTTTGCGAGCTCCCAGGAGTCTTACAGGCCGCGCACTTGTAACCCAGGGTAGGGGCGATTTATCGTCCCGGGGAGGAGGAGGAGGAGGAGGAGGAGGAGCAGGAGGAGGAGGAGGAGAAGCAGGAGGAGGAGGAGGCGGAGGCGGAGGAGGAGGAGGAGGAAGAGAAGAGAGGAGGAGAAGGAGGATGAGGACGAGGAGGAGGAGGAGGAGGAGGAGGAGGCGGAGAAGAAGACGTCCACCAGCACCACGGCGCCGTCCACGGACGGCGGCGCGGCGTCCGCGGCCCCCTCGCTGACGGCCCCGCCCTGCCGGGCGCAGCCGTCGGCGGAGAGCAGGGGAGCAGGCGCGCGGGGCGGTCGGGGAGCCAAAGCCCAGACCTCACACCACATCAGCCCAGACTCCTCCTCCTCCTCCTCCTCCTCCTCCTGGTCCTGCTCCTGCTCCTGCTCCTCGTCCTCCTCCTCCTCCTCCTCCTCCTCCTCCTCCTCCTCCTCCTCCTTCTCCTTCTCCTCCTCATCATCTCCCCCTCCTCCTCCTCCGCCTCCTAGGTGGGGTCGGAGTAGATGGGGTCGGAGGATCGCGCCGCCACGCCGATGCGTCGGCGATGTGGCTCGAGGTGGGGCCCGATTTGCTTCACGTCGACGTCGCCGATGCATTGGCGATGCGGCGCGATCCTTCGACCCCATCCACTCGGACCCCATCTAGGAGTCCTCTAATACAACAACCCAGACATGATCGCGTCGTTTTTTCTCCAAAAACCACCCCCCAAAAAAAGAGGGAGGTTTGGGGCAGTTTTCGGCCTTTGGGGGCCCTCGCCGGGCCTCGGGACCGTCAAGAAACGATTCGCTTGCAGGGGCCCCGCATTGATAACATCAGGACGTCGCATGTCTGCGAATTGACAACTTCAGACCTGTGATCTGCATGACGTGATATAGCTTGTTGTTGCCAGCGGCACGTGTGAGCTTTCGCTGGTCTCGCGGGGGCTCTTCAGGCTGGCCCGGGCAAAGACAGCCAGGGTGCGGCCTTCCTGCCAGCGCGCGCGCAAGCGCGGGGCGGTCGGGGAGCCAACCCAGGCCCTGACCCCCGACGTCCTGATTTTTTCACGACGTCGACACCCAGAGGTCTCGACCGATTCCCCGGGACTGGTTTTTCATCCTGAGTCGTTTTCTGGACGGTCCCGAGGACCGGCAAGGGCTCCCCGAGGCCGAAGATGGGGACAGACTTCCCGTCACGATATTTCCGATATTTAAATGACCCAAGGGGGTCTGGGGACCTCTGGGTGCGGGCAGGATGCAGAAATCTGATGCCGGATACAGGGGGGCCTGGCCGCGGGCTAGACCATCCCAGATTCCCCCCCCCTCCCTACCAAGGGGGGCAAGTCTGCGCTGGTGCCCAACAGTTCGGGGCACCAGCCTCCTTGGCCTGCAAATCCCTGAGGGCCTGGCGGCTTTTCGCCAACCGAATTGTGGGATCGGGCCAGATACATCCAGACAGATGCAGAGAAATCCAGGTCAATCCAGGTACATCTAGAGATCTCCAGGGAAAGTTTGAGCGAATCGCGGCCACTCCAGCGCGAGTCGAAGCACGGCAGAAGTTGTTCAGCTTTTGAAGAGCTGTGCCTCCCTTCGGCTGCCACAGTAAGGCGACCAGAGCGGCCCGACAGGGCCGGAGACGCTCGAAGATTGCTTCAGGACGGCCCACGAGGCCCCGAGGACGATGTACAAAGGCTCTAGGATGCTCCCCGAGAGGGCCCAAGGAGGCAAATTGTTGCCCCATTCCTTAGTGGGAGCGTGCATTTCTAGCATAAACGGCCCAAGAGAACCCTAAGATCGCCCCAAGACGGCCTCAAGAGGGCCCCAGGACGGCCCGAGAGAGCCCCAATACGGTCCAAGAGGCGCCCAAGACGGCCCAAAAGGGCTCCAAGAAGGGTCCAAGAAGGGGAACTCGAGCTGAAATTTCGAGCCCCCCAAGAGACCCCCCCCAAATGGGATGGGCCCCAGGGTTCCACAGGCCCCGTCCCCAGACGATGCCGCCGCCACCGCCGTCGCCGTTGCCGCCGCCGCCGCCGCAGCCGTCGACGACGACGGACGACGGACGACGGACGACGGACGACGGACGACGACGACGACGACGACGGACGACGACGACGACGACGACGACGACGACGACGACGACGACGGCGGCGACGACGACGACGACGACGACGACGAGGACGACGACGACGACGACGACAATGGCGACGACGATGGCGACGACGACGACGCCGCACCACCCCACACCCACAGGGGGAGGGCGGAGGGTGTACAGGCACCCTCCACCACGTCACGCCCACGACCACAATGGGGGACCATCCCATTCGCGAGGTTTTCGCGAGGCTCACGGGCGTAACCATGCACTCAATGGCTTGGCGACGGACCCATCCCTATGCAGTCACGCGTAGCGCAGGGCGCGGACTTCTCTTCGTAGACTCCGCGCCGCGGGGCTGAGCTGAGCTGATAGCGGGCTGCTGCGGAGCAAGTGCGCACAGGCGCGCTCAATTGTGTGGGGCACGATCCGCGTGAAGGGGGTGCCGAATAATCCGGGTGCCCTCGCGCGAACCCGCCCACTCAGGCAGCAGGTGGAGCTCCTTGCGGGGCGCGACCCGTGTGAGGCATGCGCCAAAGTGGGCGGGGGGACGCCATGCGAAGTTGCCCATTGGCACGAACCGTGTGAATGGTATGCCAACATGGGCGGAGGGACGATTTGCAAACCTTGTCTCTGGGGATGTGGGTGGTGCTCCATGTGGGGCACGTTCCGCGTGAGGGGGGTGCCGCAATGGGCGGGGGGGACGCTATGCAAACCTTGTCTCTGGGGATGTGGATGGTGCTCCATGTGGGGCACGTTCCGCGTGAGGGGTGTGCCGCAATGGGCGGGGGGGACGCTATGCGAACCTTGTCTCTGGGGCCGTCTGTAGAGCTCCATATTGGGCACGATCAGTGTGAGAGGTGTGCCGAAGTAGGCGGCGGGGCGGGATGCGCTTACCTCTGGGGCCGTAGATGGAACTGCCTGCATCGCACCATCCGTGTGAGAGGTGTGCCGACGTGAGTGGGGCGATGCTCTGCGAAGCTTCCCTCTTATTGCAGTTAGCTTCGGGGCAGCACGATCCGTGTGAGGAGATCTATGTCGGGCACGAACCCTGTCAGAGGTGTGCCGAGATGAGCGGGGGGCGGTCGGTGTGCCCTCCCTGAGGGCACGAACCGTGTGAAGAATTTACATACGTGGGCGGGGAGACGCCATTCAAGATGTGTATGCCCACGATAGCGCAGGTGCTCCCACGTGGTGGTCGGGATGGCGTGCGCACCCATCCGCTGATTGATATGGCGCTGGCTTTGCCGTGGCTGGAACAGCAGCGCGCGCGAGGCGCGCGCGATGCTCCAGCATCCACAGGTGTGCCGGCCGAAAGCTCGGCCGACTGAACGCACAACGGGGATGCCGTGGTCGGCGTTTTGGGCGGAAACGCGCCGATGTCGGCCAGGTCTGGGGAGGGCCCCAGGCCTGCGTGTTCCCCGCTCGCGACTCTGCGAGCAACGCCGACGTCGAGAGTTCCGGGCCCCCTTCCCCCGGGCAGCCGAGGCGCAGTGGAGTTGGGTGAACATGTGGCTCCGAGCGGCCAGATGGTCATCCCAGGGCTGGACCTGAACGCTGTTTTGCTGGACGTCGGCTGTGGTTTGCGTTTCGTTTTAGCACGGAGGTACAGGAACACAGGTAGAGCGAAACGAACAACAAAACGAAACCAAAACGAAAGACAACGTTTAGGTCCAGCCCTGTGTTATCCGCATCCTCTTCGCCTCTGCCTCTGGCGCCTGTTCCAGGGCCCCAAACGCATTGGGTAACCATGGATGTAGATACAGTGGGGGCGTTCGTTACGGAATGTTCCCAGGAGGCTGCAGACCTTGGGGGGGTCCTTATCTGATGAGGGCGGCGGTGAAATCCATGGCCGATCCACGATTGGAGTTGCCCCAGCCTCCAGGCCTTGGAGTCCTTCTCCAATGGTTCCTCGCCCAATGTCCCCACCGTATCGCCCAAAAGAGGAGGGCCAGCCAAGACAAGGGCAGTTGGCCTTCGGGGGGCGTCCCTCTCCGCCACGCCTGGACGCAGCTCGGAAAACTGGCGCGTCTGGGCCCCAGGAAGGGGTCGCAAAAAAACGAACGAAGGATTGCAAAAAAGGATTGCAAAAAAACCTTGGTCGAAGGATTGCAAAAAAACCTTGGTCGAAGGGTTTTTTTGCAATCCTTGGTTTTTTTGCAATCCTTCGTTGCAATCCTTGGTTTTTTTGCAATCCTTGGGTTTTTTTGCAATCCTTCGTTCAAGGGGGGGGACCGATGTCGAGCGGCCGTGGTCTGTCCCGGCTCTGCGTCGGGCGGCTCGTCTGCCAAGGCGCTCCCGGAGTCTCAGAAGGGGAGGCGCGCCCGAGGGGGGGGGGGGGGCGCGGCGCGCCGCTCCTCTGCTGCCCTGGCTCGGTGGCACGCGCTCCCGGCACGTCGGCGCGCGGACGCGTGCGTCCTGTCTGCGAGGGAGCGGGTGCCCTGCTCGTTTCACGTCCGATCGATCACCCCCCCCCAAAAAAATAAAAAAAAGAAACAAAAAAATATACAATAATATATATATATATATATATATATATGTATAAGAAAAAAACCTCCGATCGATCACCCCACTCGTACCACCTCCGCCGTTCCTGGAGCCTCGCATATGTGATGGCGACGCCTCGCTGTCTCGCGTTGCGTTCGGGTTGGTAGCGGAGCTGGCCACACCCTCGTGCGGCAGGCTCCCGTATTCGATCTGATTCAACCACTCTTAAGTCGGGCCTGTCCCTCTACATGGAGTACCCAACAGCAATCGACAAATAATTCCTGTACGACCACCCTTCGGGTGATAAGGAGGTTGGGGGGGGAGGGGGGGAACCAACATCTGACCCAATCGATTTCACTCAACGGGACACCACGGGACACCACGGGACACTTGTCGATCTCATTGTCGATCTCGCTATCGATCTCACTCAACGGGACACCACGGGACACGGGACACCGCGGGACACCTCTCGATCTCATTATCGATCTCACGATCGATCTCACTCAACGGGACACCATAGGACACCACGGGACACCTCGGGACACCACATCGATCTCACTATCGATCTCATGTTCGATCTCACTATCGATCTCACTCAACGGGACACCACGGGACACCTGTCGATCTCACTATCGGTCCCACGTTTTGGGACACCACGGGACACCTCGGGGCACCACATCGATC